AGACAGGACCTTTAAAGAGGTGACTTGGTTAAAATGAGGCTGTCCGTGTAAACCCAGTTCAGTTCAGTCTCTCAGTCGTGACCAACTCTTTTGACCCCATGAACCGCAGCACACCAGGCCTCCCTATCCATCACCAACTCCCGGAGTTCACCCAAACCCATATCCATTGAGTTGGTGATGCCATCCAACCACCACATCCCCTGTCGTCTCCTCCTCCCGCCTTCAGTCTTTCCCAGGATCAGGGTCTTTTCCAGTGAGTCAGGTCTTCACATCAGGTGACCAAAGTATTGGAGTCTCAGCTTCAGCATCAGTCCTTCCAATGAATATTCAGTACTGATCTCCTTTAGGATGGACTGGTTAGATCTCCTTGCAGTCCAAGGGACTCTGAAGAGTCTTCTCTAACACCACAGTTCAAAAGCATCAATTCTTCGGTGCTCAGCTTTCTCTATAGTCCAACTCTCACATCCATACATGACTACTGGAAAAACCATAGCCTTGACTAGATGGACTTTGTTGGCAAAGTGATGTCTCTGNGGTGCTCAGCTTTCTCTATAGTCCAACTCTCACATCCATACATGACTACTGGAAAAACCATAGCCTTGACTAGATGGACCTTTGTTGGCAAAGAGATGTCTCTGCTTTTTCAAATGCTGTCTAGGTTGGTCATTGCTTTTCTTCCAAGGAGCAAGCGTCTTTTAATTTCATGGTTGTAGTCACCGCCTGCAGTGATTTTGGAGCCCAGAAAAATAGTCTCTGTTTCCATTATTTCCCCATCTATTTGCCATGAAGTGATGGGACTGGATGCCGTGATCATAATTTTCTGAATGTTCAGTTTTAAGCCAACTTTTTCATTCTCCTCTTTCACTTTCATCAAGAGGCTCTTTAGTTCTTCTTCGCTTTCTGCCATAAGGGTGGTGTCATCTGCGTTTCTGAGGTTATTGATATTTCTCCCGACAAGCTTGGTTCCAGCTTGCTGTGCTTCGTCCAGCCCGCATTTCTCATGATGCACTTTGCTCATGTGTGGACCCAGTCCAGTCTGATCAGTGTCTCCGTGTAAGAAGAGGGCACTGGGACACGGGCTGGTGTGCTCAGAGGGTGGCTGTCTGCAGTCTCGGGAGAGGCTCAGAGGGAGCCAGCCCTGTGGACGCCTGATCTCAGACACAGGTCTGTGAGAGCGCACGTCGGTGCCCCCTCGCCCCCACGCGCATCTCAGCATCAGCGCCCCTGGAACTCTGCAGAACCTTTGTTCCCACTCACATGCGTTCCTACTGTTTGCACTCACTCTCTGCCTCCCCGGGCCCTTGAACAGGCACTGCAGCATTTCTCACTCCCAGACCAGCATGCCTTCCCGCCTGGGCCCCCATCCCTCACCCTCCTGTCAGCGGGGGAGCCCACCTCGCTAAGGGCTGGGCCTTCCTCACAGGCCGTGCCGCTGGCCCTTCCCCACCAGGATCCTGGCCTCAGCAGCGTCTATCTTCAGCTTTTCCGTCCTTGCTTCCTTTCCAACAGGCTCAGGTTTCACTCACCTTAAAAAAAAAAAAATTTTTCAGATACCCTCATTATTTAGCTCATTTGTCTTCAAACTTTTTGTTCACGTTTCACTAAAAGAACTTTGGAAAAATCTACACCAACATTTCAAGTCGGTATCTTTTTTCATCTTAAATCTTTATAGTTCTAAATGATATAATTTGCAACAAACAGCAGAGATGCTCTAAAGAGAACTGTTAGCATCACACCTTTAATGATTTTAGTAGAATTGAAATATAGAAAAATGTGGTTCCAGACATAATCCATTTTAAAAGTGAACGTGTTTTCTTTTAATATTTGGAACTATTATTTTTACTTTCATCTGGAATCTGCATTTATATTTTATTCTAGTCACAGAATTTTATCCTAATGTAGTATTTGTATGCTTGAAATCACACAGAGTATTACAATTTCACATACAGAATAAAATTTTGGCTAGAGCAGAACTAAACTAAAATCCATGAAAAAAAAAAAGATACCTGGAAAGTATCTGAATATTTGGAAATTTAAAAGCACACTGCTAAATAGCCTGTGGGTGAAAGAAGAGATTATGAAACAAACTAAATGTTTAAATGATAAGAGAAACAATGCAGTCATCCCTTGGTATCCGTGGGGGGTTGGTTCCAGGACCCACTTCAGATACCAAAGTCCATGGATGCTCAAGTCCTGTTGTCAGCCCCAGGTCCTGCATCTGTAGATACAACCAGTCAGATCATGTCTTGCAACAGTGTGGGGGGGGGGGGGGGTGGGGGTGGTGGGAGTCTGAGTCTGAATGGACCCACCCCGTTCAAGTCTGTGTTCAAGCTGGAAAAAGAAGAGCTAATGAAACAGAGTAAGTTGAAGGAAGGGAACAAAACCAATAAAAAGCAGAAATCTATAAAATAGGAAATGGACACACAGTAGAGAAAAATCTGAAAGCAAAAGCTGGTTCTTTTAAAAGATCAATAAAGTTCACAAATCTCTAGTGAGCATGCTCGAGATAAACGTACAAGCTTGTCAATATCAGCAAGAAAGATGGGACATCACTACAAATCCTACAGACGTTAAAAGGAAAACCAGGGAATATGAGGGAAACACAACTTTCAATTCAGTTCAGTCACTCAGGTGTGTCCGACTCTTTGCGACCCCATAAACCGCAGCACTCCAGGCCTCCCTGTCTATCACCAACTCTCGGAGTTCACCCAAACCCATGTCCATTGAGTCAGTGATGCCATCCAACCATCTCATTCTCTGTCATCCCCTCTCGTCCTGCCCTCAATTTTTCCGAACATCAGGGTCTTTCAAAATGTATCAGCTCTTCGCATGTGGTGGCCAAAGTATTGGAGTTTCAGCTGCAACACCAGTCCTTCCAGTGAATATTCAGGACTGATCTCCTTAGGATGGACTGGTTGGATCTCCTTTTAGTCCAAGGAACTCTCGAGAATCTTCTCCAACACCACAGTTCAAAAGCATCAATTCTTCAGTGCTCAGCTTTCTTTATAGTCCAACTCTCACATCCATACATGACTACTGGAAAAACCATAGCTTTGACTAGATGGACCTTTGTTAGCAAAGTAATGTCTCTGCTTTTTAATATGCTGTCTAGGTTGGTCATAACTTTTCTTCCAAGGAGTAAGTGTCTTTTAATTTCATGGCTGCAGTCACCATCTGCAGTGATTTTGGAACCAAGAAAATAAAGTCAGCCACTGTTTCCCCATCCATTTGCCATGAAGTGATGGGAGCGGATGCCAAACAACTTTATGCAAAAAATAATTGAAGAAAGCAAATTATTTCTGTTTACAGACATGAATTATCGAAATGGACACAAAAAGAAATAGAAACTCCCAGATAGTCCTGTGTCTGTTAAGGAAATGTGCGATTGATCTTTCCACAAAGAGAATTCCAAGCCTCTGTCTTCGCTCTCAAAGCCTCTAACGCACGCTGCATCTGGCAGCCAGGGTGGTCTTTCTGGAGCATCAGTCTGTCCCGTCATCCCCTGCCCCAAAGAGTGGCTCATTCCCCAGAGTGACTCTGAAGGCAGGCTGAGCCCGCCTCCTCACAGCCTCGTCCCTGACCACCGTCCTTCCCCATTCTTTGCACCCCCACGCACACACACATGGGAGTGTGCACATGCCTGACTTCTACCCCGCTAGTTCTCCACTATCAACACCCGGTACCCCCACCAGGGGACGTTTGGGAAAGCCTGGGAGCGTGAGTTGTCACATGCACCATGGATGTCGTCTGAGCAGGCAGAGTGGTCACATCCAGCGGTGCCCGGATCAGACCCCATGGTGAAGGCTCACCCTGACCTGCCACGCTGACTCTTCCCTGGGGGAAGATATGCTGTTGGCTCTGCCTGCAGGCCTCGTTCACCTGGCTATTCCCCACTCGGGGCAGGTTTCAGGGCTCTGCCCCCCTAACACACTCCTGCTGCTGCTGCTAAGTTGCTTCAGTCGTGTCCGACTCCGTGCGACCCCATGGACAGCAGCCCACCAGGCTCCCCCGTCCACGGGATTCCCCAGGCAAGAACACTGGAATGGGTCACCATTTCCTTCTCCTCCCTAGACATTGACTGCGTCAATTTTGCCTCCCTCCTCCTGCGCCCTTTTCATTCAAGTAAAAGATTCAGTTCTAGGAGCGGAGACTGTTCGTTTCAACATACCCTGACAATCACTCAGTGCGGAGGGGCGGGGGCGTGCAGATTCTAACATTTACGGGGAACCACGGTTAAGCCTCCCCACTCTAGAAAGAGAGGCTCTGTCCTGATCTTCATTTTGTGAGTGGTTTCCCTGGCGCTCCGGCCCACACCTGGGCCCCGGAATGTGCCAGCCTCCTCTCCTTCCCACCCCCCTCCCTGGCCTGGTTCATCTCTGCTTTTTAATACCCTCCTTCATCTTTCCCCCACCGCTGGGCTCCTGTCTGGCTTTCCCCCTTCCTGCTCCCAGTCCAGCAGTGCCCGTCCACTGTGCCCACCCTGGCGGGCAGAGAGCTGAGAGCCTGCGGGTTAACCCTGGGCAGGCCCAGAGCCACCCTCAGCCCTTGCCCGATGTGCTCCAGGTCTGCCGTCTCTTAAACGTGTCGCGTGGTGATCGCAGGCGGTGGTCTTCCCGAGACCAGACAAGGAAGACGAGAAGGAACCCCCCCTGACCCCCATCGCCACGCTCGTATCATTGACTCTGCTTCTCTGCGTGCCTTCGAAGGCTGAAGACCTGTCAGTCAAAGCAAGAGGATTAGCTTCACCCGTGTGAAGGGAAAATTGGGAAGGAAAAAAAAAAGATTCCTTGTCTGAACTTGAAAATAAAAATGCTGATGCGGTTTTTATTCCAGAAACATATCTTACTGATTAAGGGCACGCAGCGCTCCCGGCTCGTGGGTGGGCCAGGTCGTCCGCCTCCCCGTGCTGTGGGGCCAGGCCCAGCGGCAGAGGCAGGGGGCAGTTGGGGTGCCCATTGCCCGTCTGCAGTGATGGTTGGCCGTGCACGTGGGCACATGCAGGGCGCTGAAGCGGACCCCGTGAGGCAGGGCCCGTCCCTTCACTCAGCTCACCTTCGCGTCAGGGGGACAGAGAGGCGGCAGGTGGCCCTGGAAGAAGCGTGGATGTGGGGTCAGGTAGGGCTGGTCGAGGCCCACTCCTCGTGAACTAGTGACCCTGGGCCGTGACAAGCCCCTTAGGCCCTCATCTCACCATCTGTGAAACGGAGGTAGCAGCGCCTACTTGGCAGAGGTTGAGATCATGCAAGGCCGACCACTGGCACCTGCTCACACAGGACAGACGCCCCACAATGGACCACCGGGCCAGTGCCAAGACGGCGGCCCAGAGCACACGCCGCCCCCTGCCCCGCCCTTGGACACCCGAAGCCACTGCCCCCTCCAGGTTCCTCTTTCAAGTTTCCCTGCCGTGGGTTGGAGCGGCCTGGGCCCCGGCAGGCCTCAGTCTCCACGGCTGTGAGATGGGGCCAGCACCTTTGCACACCGCGACCACACAGGGCTTGTGGCTTGGCGTGGCTGCAGCGGCTGCTGCTGGGGGGGCAGCCTTCGCCAAGGGCTGGATTCCTCCCGGCCAGGCGCAGCTGGCACTTCCTCTAGTTTCACTGGGTTGGGTTGCAGAGCGATGGCACGATTGATAATGCCGTAATTGGGTTGACTTGGGCATTTTCCTAGGTACGGCTGCTGATGACTCATGCTCGGAAAGTCAACATTCCACTACCGTCAGGCCCAGGAGACAGTTCGGTAGCCTCCCGGGGATTCGAGTTTCACAACTTCGGTGTCTGGATGTGAGGTCCTTGAGTCACAGAGATTCCGCACCTCAGGAGACGTTTAGGTGGGGCCTTTGTTCCCCGGGTCCCACGCAGAGAGGGTTTTCTTTGAGGCGTTGAGCTGGCACCTAGAGGGTTTCCAGCTGCAGTCTCTTCCCAGCAATTAAGATCCTGTAAATAAGAAATCCGCTCTGGAGCCCAGCTCCTGAGGCCCTCGGCTCCTCCTGGCCTCTCTCCTCCTCCCTGCATTCTCCTTCTTTCCAGCACTTCCTCCCTGCTCCTCCCCTTCTCTTGATTGCTCTGTTTTCTTCTGCTTCTTTCTGGGGTCCCCCCTTCCCCCTTGGTGCTGAGCGCACTCATTCCTTGCCCCCCACAGTGGGCACAGAGCTGGCTGGAGTTGGAGGGTGGCGGGGGCAAGCGCGACCCAGGGGAGGGGCAGGTCCTGGCGGATCTCACAGACTTGGTGTGGGGTCCTGGGCTCAAGAAGGCGCGCAAGTGGCGCTCTCCCGTGGGCCCCTGTGAATCTGGCCTCCGGCCCGCGGTGCCGTGTGGCACCTGCCAGTCAAAGCGAGACTGGCTGTGGGGGGAGTGGAGCCCTGGGGGGCCCGGAGTGGGCTGCCCTCCTCCTGTGCCCACATGTGGCTGACGGCGGTCACAAGTGCCCTGTGCAGGCCGGGTCCCTGCCCTCAGAAGCTGACGTCCAGGGGGGTGGATCCCGACACCAGTTACAGGACGACCGCTGGCGAACTGCTGGGGAGGGGACGAGCTGGTGGGTGGGAGGAGGAGGGGGACCCTGTCAAAGGTGCCAGGGAGCCTACACATGCCCACAGCCCCGCGGAGGGACCAGGGCCCCGGCTCCCCAAGGTGGACCCAGCCCCTCCTTCCTGGCTGGGTGGCCTTGGGCAAGTTGGTCCACCTCTCGGGGCATCAGTTTCCTTCTCTATGAAACCAGCAGAGGGACAGTGGTCCCGACCTCCGGGGGCTGCTCTGAGGGCCCCATGAGATGGCACGCACACAACAGCTCGGGGTCACCCTGGGCCCCTCTTGCTTCCCCGATCCGGGGCCGCAGGCCGGGACAGGAGGAGGACAGGAGCTTTTGGGGCAGAACCCAAACCGGGCAGGTGGAGGGCCTCCAGGCAGAGCTGGCTCCCCAGCCCCGGGGAGGAGGTGTGCGGCCCAGAGGCAAGCCTGCACTGCCCTCTGGGGGACGGCCCTGGGCACGGGAGCCTGGCCCCCAGATGCCCCCCGGGGGCTGCCCCTGCATCTCCCTCCATCCCGCGGCCCCCCGCTCACTGTGGGCTCCCGTGACTTCCCCAGTGGAGCCTGGACACCTCCCCTCCAGAGACCGCACTGGCAGCCCTGGCTCGGTCCTCAGTGCCCCTTCTCCCTGTAATGGTGCGGATGGGAGCTGGCACATGTCCGGCACCCCCCTCCTGCAGACAAGAGGCTCACACCAGGCAGCCCCTCAGCCGTCTCTGGGGCGGTGCCACCATTAGTTCCGTATTACAGATGAGGAAACCGAGGCTCAGAGAGCGACGCCAGGGACCCGCTAAGCCTCCGCCTCCCGCGGGCACAGCCTGAAACTTGTCCCTGCCAACAGCCGCCTCTAGTTCCAGGTGCCCCCAAGCCACGGCCCCCCACCTGCTCCCCGCATCCTCCCACCACCCACCTCCACCCTGGACCCTTCCACGAACTCCCTCTGTCTCTGTCACCCACGCTCGGCTCAGGGCGTCCTTCATTTCCATCAGCGCCTGCACATGCAGCCCCAGCCCCTCTCCCACGGGGAACTCTTCCTCTTCCGCATCACCCCAACTGCGGTTAGATCCTCCTGCTGTCTTCCTTGGGGAAGCATCAGCCGCGCAGCAGGGCAGTGCCCGCGTGCAGCACCTGAGCACCTCTGCCCACGGGTCACACCCCTGCCCCCTGTGCCCCATGTCCTAGACTCTGCCCCGTGGGCCCCCCGGCCCCCGGCTCAGGGTCTTCCCTCACGGGCTCTGCACACAGCAACCAGAGGACCCCTGCCCAAGCCCCCGGAGACCGTCACGTCTGTCAGCGGGTGACAGGCATGCGGAGCTCCCCGGATGCGGCTGTGGCCCTTTCTCCCCGTCCCTGCCCGTGGCTGCCAGCCGCCCTCCTCCTCCGGCTGCCTTGTCCTCCACCAGCCCACAAAGCCCGTCCTTCTCCAGGGTGCGGATGGTGGAGTTCTCTCTCGGGCATCCACTTACTCCTGGAAACCTGGCCAGTTTCAAAGCTTTAAATAGCAGCCATAACCTGACGGCCGCAGACTCGCCATCACACGTCCCAGCACCGCGGTCTAAGCCTCCACAGACACCCCCCACCCTGTTGTTCCCCCGGGTGCTGGGGATTTGCCTGCTTATCTTCTGCCGAAAGTCCCCCAGACTCTGCTCTTGTCCAGGGCAGGGCCGAGCGCCCCGGGGGTCGGCGGGGCTGCCTGCGCAGGCCCGCCCTCCCCGAGCACCCCTCCCACAGCATCTGCCCGGCTTGCCCCCTCCCCTGCCCTGTGTGTGCTCCGGCGCTTGGTCCCCTCCGACCGCACCAGGCTCCACCGTCCGTGGGATTCTCCAGGCAAGAACACCAGAGTGGGTTCCCGTTTCCCCCTGCAGGGGATCTTTCCGACCCGGGGAGGGACCGCGCGTCTCGCCTCTCCTACACTGGCAAGTGGGTTCTCGCCCCTGCGCCCCAGGAGCCTGTTCTCCTGGCCTTGGCTGAAACGCCCCCTTCTTGGAGAGCCTGCCGCTCAGGCCCTTCCCCACAGCAGCCCCGCGTGCGGCCACCCGCCGGCCCAGGGCTGGGTCACGCGTTCCCGGGTTCCTGGGGCAAGGATTTCTCCCTCTACTCGCTGCTTCATACCCCACGCCCAGAACAGCCCTGGCACACAGCAGGTGCCCGGGACTTGTCTGCCGAGTGAACGGCACAAGGAAGGCCCTTGGCCCCGTTCTCAGAACGAGGCGTCCCAGCAGGGAGGTGCCGGGGCACATGCTCTCTGGCCCCCACCTGCCAGCCTTCAAGTGGTTTCAAGTCAGGTTGGGTGGGCTCGAGTCCACTCAGCATCTCTCCAGGGCCAGAGCAGGTGGTCCTGACCCCAGCGCTCTGGACGCTCCACGGGTCAGCATCAAAGCCAGATTAGCTTGAGCTCAGCCCTGGCTGCCACATTCTTGTGACAGTTATCGGCTGGGAGATTCAGCGGCTCCAGTTTCAGACTTGGACTCAGACCTCTGGGAGCCCCTACCGTGCGCGCACGCACACACACACACACACACACACGCACACACGCACTTGCACATATGCATGCGTGCACATATGTACGCACCTGCACGCACGCACACATACACACACACACACACACATGCGTGCGTTGTTTAGGCAGCCAGGGGCCCTTGCCTCTGCTGATAGCTCGCCATAGCCCTGGGTTTGGACTCGACCCCAGAGAGCCGGCACTGGCAGCCCCTCCTGTCAATGCGGTCTTGCCCAGCGTCTCACAGCACAGCCAGGGACCCTGCCCAGAGGCAGAATGTGGTTTGCATCACCTTTTACTCCCAATTCCAAGGGCCTTATTGCTCTCCTGTGCCACTTTACAGGAAAAGCACCAGCCTCAGTAACTGCTGCCCAAGTGGAAATGTATAAGGAGGTCGCCCTGGTCACAGCGTGAACCAAACCAGATGACCAACGGGAAGGGCCCAAAGCACGGAGGCGCAGGGGCCTCTCGAAGACGGGGTGGTGATGACTGGCTACTGTCACTAATTCTATCGATGCGCCCTCAACTACAGTACGCTCCTCCACGGCTGTTACTGTGTCTTGCCCTCTTCGGGGTAGATTGGGTCACACTCTTCTCACTGACCCGTCACACCACGGACCTTCCTTGCTGGGACATCAGTCTTTTTCTCCAACTCAGGAGAAAACCGCTCCCTGATCACCAACCAGAACCAGAGCTCGGGGTTCCCGCCCCTCTCGGTGAACACCAGGCTCCTTTTATCTGAAGCAGCAGAGGCCGTGAGCATCCCTGCTGACCAGGGGGCCGGCTCGTCTGCGTCCAGACGTGTCCTTCCCTGACCAGCCCAGGCACCTGACAACTTGCATCGAATCACATTTCACTCCTTCTGCTGAAACCTCTATCTGTACCTTTTGCCACTTCCCTCCCCCTCCCCCACACTGGCTTTCTTTCGGGAGGCGTGGTGAGGACCCAGCGCCCAGCGTTCCAGGTCACACACCCAGCAAGGGGAAGGCGGCCAATACTTGGTGTGAAAAGAGAGAGTGCTTCTGTTTCTGGTCAAGATGAAGTAACAGGCTATTTTTACCACCACATGAAACAATCAATAAAGAAAGCTGAGCACCGAAGAATTGATGCTTTCGAACTGTGGTGTGGGAGAAGACTCTTGAGAGTCCCTTGGACTGCAAGGAGATCCAACCAGTCCATCCTAAAGGAGATCAGTCCTGGGTGTTCATTGGAAGGACTGATGCTGAAGCTGAGACTCCTCATGTGAAGAACTGACTCATTGGAAAAGACCCTCATGCTGGGAAAGATTGAAGGCAGAAGGAGAAGGGGACGACAGAGGATGAGATGGTTGGATGGCATCACCAATGCGATGGACATGAGTTTGAATAGGCTCTGGGATTTGGTGATGGACAGGGAAGCCTGGCGTGCTGCAGTCCATGGGGTTGCAAAGAGTCAGACATGACTGAGCAACTGAACTGAACTGAAACAACCAAAAGAACCAGACAGAATATAATCAATAGCAGTTTTCAAGACACTGGACATCAGGCAATGTGAGGAAATGAAGCGGCCTCTGAGAGACAATAAACAAGGTGAGCTCTACAAGATGCCCGGCTTGCTGTCCTGAGAGCGCTCAGGTCACAGCACAGGGAAGGGGCCCCAGGAAGACCCTCGGAATCACCCTGAGTCCCAGAGATGGAGCTGAGAGTCCAGGAGGACCAAGGTGCTCGAGCTGACAGGCTTTGTATCAGAGAAGAGAGACCTGCGCAGGGGCAGCTCCGGAGATGTCCCTAGGATGCCCCTCAAGTATTCCCCAAAGGACTGGCCCCTGCCTTTGTGTGAGGACGTTACTCAAGACCTGTGAGAGAATCATCCTAACGGATTAAAGGAAACAGTGCCCAGCGCTCCCACAGGGCCAAGACTAACGCTTGTTCCCACC